TCATTTACAAGTTTCTCATACAAAGTTGTAAGTTTCCCATAATAACAAAAAAGTGTGTACGTTTTGTGTTACCTAGCAACCTAAACTAATTGTAAAAACACGTGAAGTGATATAAAAACAGTATAACGACAAAAAGTCACTTTGAACGCACTTTTTAGCTTTTTATTTTTGTTAATTTATAAATCTGAATTAACATAATTTACAGATTGGACGGATCTTAGTAAACTATTGAAAATCAGGAAGCACTGTACAGCTTTTTCATATTGGATTAACAAATATCTGTTTACATATTAACTCAATAATAAGAGGATATATTATTTCCTGTGTTTATATTGTAAATAATGTTTTTTCTTTAGAAAAGATAATGCTGAGTTCAATCCTGAAGATGTATTTCATTTTGAGTTTGAACAACATCACTCAACTTAAACTAAGTTGAACAGACTCATTTTGCATACATTCTGAAATAGTCTTTGGGATTTTATTAATAAACACTATCAGAAATCTAATAAAAGAATGAATAGTATATCTCAAATAAATACAAACAATCTGTCCTGAATTGTTTCTTTCTTAAATTTTCGTATATCCTAGAAAGAGATCAGTCGTGTAATCAAAATCAGTCTATATTTATTAATTTGTGAAATCGGTTTAACTAAATCAGTATTGTTTTATGATATCTGGTTTAACAATTGGTCGGTCCAAGCTAAAATTTGATTTTATTTACCTATGGTTATTTATAATCCTAAAAAGCATACAGTTATTCAGAGATAAACGTCAGATTAAAAAACTACCACAATTTGTTTAAATGCAACTAGAAGAAATCATTAGTTCAGAGAGAAATAATGTCAAAATTTGAAAACTAGGGGGAAAATAAGAATAGTTTTGATGTCCATTATATATGTTTTATTTTATAAGAAATTTTAATTAGTATAATACTGCTTATATAGTGTTTACTTGATACCTGTCATTTATTACAGTTTCCATTAAAAAGTCTATTTTATGTACTTCATTTACATAAACATTTTTATGATGTAGATCGTTAGGTAATTTTTCTTTTATTTCTTTGATATCTCTTGGTTTCACTAGTTACAATCGGTAACTTAGAAATCATTAACGTGGAGCTTGATTCAGATGTCTGCTAGTCAAAGCTGCCATACCAGATTAGCAGAACGAAATGAATATCACAAGATGAGTTAAAAATAAACTGAATCCATCTAGTGGCAGTAAGAGAAATAACAATGAGAAAAACTAACTGTTAAGAACCTAGTTTAGGAAGAGAGAGCTTAGACCGTATCAATATTATAAAATACAAAGAAAAGTTTAATATCAATAAGCAATATAAGACGCCGCTAGAAATATCATTTGATCAATGTTCAATACTGCCAAATATTCAATGTCTGTGTAATTTGTGCAAACATATTGACTAGATCATGATAATGTTAGGCTGTAAGTATAAAACCTTTGCAGATATTAATATTTAAACTGCAAGTTATAGAGTTAATAAGACAAGATTAGTTATTACCGTACCTAACAATACAGTTACTGGAAATATATGTTCTTGCACAGTTCTAAGATTTTTCTTAGTCTAGTCATTGAAGAAATAGGGGAGAGTTACACAAATTTCAAGCTTACCAGTAAACTGTTTTCTCATTTAGTGAAAATTAGTGATAAGACGTTTAGGATTGATTTAAAAACACCTTCCAGTGCGTCCAGACATAAACATTGTAGGAACTTTGAGAAATCGCTCTTAGATGCTAATGACTTGACAAAATAACCTTTCAAATAAAATTGATTTTCTTAATGGGTTATAGTCTGTTTAGGAAAAACGAATTATGCACCATGGTAAACTTATAAGCTACGTACAGTCACCAACACAGGATTTCGTATCACAAATCCTTGATTCTGTCAGTTTTTGCTAATAGAAAAATAGGGACTTTAAGAGTCATGTTTAGTATGGTTCAATTGTTGTGGCATATTGGTTTCACTACAACAATTTCACTCGTTTCATTATGGGCATCTTAATAAAAATAAACAAATGTTGTTACTATGTTGGTAAATCGGTTATCGATTAGGAAAATTACCTGAGCATATATATATATATATATATATATATATATATATATATATATATAATAATAATAATAATTATGCATAATAAAGTTTTATTTATTCTCATCTTGGAAATTTATTAAAACGACTTATAGTTGAACTTATTGTGGCAATCAGAGAATCATTTATTCACCCAATCTAAATTTCTTTCAGTTGAAATTATATAAACAAAAATGTACAGAAAGTCAAGTTTAACTCTATAAAAAATAATTATGCATTGATTATTTTTGATGGTGAGAAAAATTTTCATTGCTTTCGGCAAGAATATCCGAACAAATAAAGGTCGTTAATTTAAGGTCCAATGTTCTAAACATATGCTTGAATACAAATAAAGTTGTTATGGGTAGAAGCGAATGGTTAATGCGAACATATATATATATATATATCCCATCTGTGTCATTGCTAATTATAGAAACTCCCACCGTTTTTTGACCTGTTTTGATTGAAAAAAAGGATGCAAAAAAATAACAAATTGTGTTGCTCAGCTTGTTAAAAAAATTTATTTGCAGTTATTTTTATCCCAATGTTTATCTCTTAAGAGAAAGCTTCATTTCTGTAGAAAAATTGGTTTTATTGGGTGTTTGAAAAGCGTGAAAGCATTTATCCTTAAGCATGTTTATTCTGTTACTTGATATCGCTTTTCTGAATTTGTTTCTTAATAGAATAGTTTTTTGTCAAAATTGTATGATTATCAATTTGTGTAATTTATTGAATAAGTAGTAAAATCCTACAACAGTGTGTACCATACAAACAGACCATATCGCTTATTATCATTAATTATGATTATAGAACTAATTGTCCATGTTTATTAGCGTAACTATTTATACCTATGCTTTGAAGCTGTATACTATAGTTTAAAGATCCTCAAAGAGTATTCAGAAGTAAAGAACACATGAACTAACGACTGTTTTCAAATATTTCATCATCAGACCTTACATTAACATACATAAATAAAGTAAATAGTGTTATATGGTAAAAGAGAAGTAATATTTTGTATCAATACGACTTAGATCAATACAAAATATGTCATCAGTACATTTGAACTAACTATGCTTCAATTTAATTAGAATAGTTATTCTTTTCTAAATTATGCTGAATAAAGACATTTATTTTCCGTATACAACAACACCAGTATATCTATTATAGATATTAGCGGTTATTCCTACTTGTTTTGATTAAATTATGCACTTTTATAATTATTTTGTTAATTATTTTTTGTAAAATCAAAGGTGAAAAAATATTCTGAAAACTACACAAATATGCTAAAATAAATTTTAGATATTTTCTAAAGTTTAATATGTCTGAAATAAAATAATGAAAATAACAATACCGTTATCAAGAGATGTTTGTGGTATTTTCAAAAATATCTAGTTATTTATGTATCTGAGATCTTTTGAAGTTCTTTTTTTTCTGTAGTTTAATTTTAACTTTACTATTTTTCTATAGATAGATATATTATTCAAATTATTTATATTCATATGTTTACTTTTCTTGCCAAGTAACAAAACACTAGCCTTTAATCATATTAATTACTGATCAGTGATTACTGTAACTGTTAAATAATTGATTGATAATAACGGTCAAACAACGTTATTAATTGACTGATATTAGAAATATGAATAATTGAATATTTACTCAATAGTTTTAAGACAATAAACTAGCTGGGAAATTTGAAAGCTCGAGATCTAATCTCTTGACAATATCATGGATACAAATTACCAATTAGTATTACAATGGATGATAACAGCTGTTTATTGCTCTATGATACCTCAATGAACATATGTTTGTGATGATAAATAAATTGTAATAGTTATTACACATATATTTGATAATGTTTTTCTCTTTATTTTATACACAAAATTTATTCAATAATGATGCTATTCGGTAATAGGTTAAGTTAATCTTAAGGAAATAGACTTTGATTTCACTAAAGTAGTTATGTATGAATTACACGGATATATGTGAATAAGGCTGAACATTGTTATTACGAAGACTATGAATGTAGTTTAATAAACACTATTTCACATTTACTGAGTAAATGTTTTGTAAATGGTAGATGAATTTACACAGTGCCTCGTTTGTGGATCACTATCAATTATGAAAACAGAAACTAATCATTGTATCCAGGCTAAAAATAGCTTGATGTTTGAAAATATCTGTTTGGTATTACTTAGTTGAAAAATGTGTGTTCATCAGACATTGAATAGATTGAAATTGTTTATGAACGATGCATCTGTTAAACACTTCATAAAAGTTTATTAGATGTATGAAAAACACGAAGAAAGAAAAATAATGCGGAGTGATATCAAAATAAACGAGAATAATTTGGGTTAAACAAAAGAAAGTAAATCATAGATATCGAAATGAGGCATAGAATAAACGGATCTGTGTTATAACTATTTCTTTTAATATATGTATTCAGGAGTTTCCAGTCTTTATATTCCTATTAATCCCAATACAAATCCATGAGCTTCCACACATTATACTGGACAAAAAATGTCACTAAATAAGTTTTTAATCAACGATTTCTCTTTGTGTTTAAACTCTATTCAATAATCTCTCACTGGACGCTTTGTTTTGCGTGGTTTATTTCATAAACTGATTTTAGTTAGGATTCAATTGAAAACTAGAAAGTAATAAACAACTGCATCGTCTTAGTGTCAGACGCCTCAGCAATATGCATGTACTATCCCACCACAGGAAATTAGAAACTAGAACCTTCGTTCTTAGATGCAATTGTTTAAGCTTTAGACCACTTAGCTGATATCTATTGGTCTGCATATCTAGCCCCGGTCCATTCTCGATGTCGCGTAACCATCTGCCATATTCTAACCTTACTTTGAGTTTTCATTTTTTAGTATTACACGTAATGTTTTTATGATTCTTGTTTACAGGTGATCTACTGCCTGCTGATGGAGTGATTCTTCAAAGTAATGATTTAAAGGTTGATGAAAGCTCATTAACTGGTGAACCGGATCAAGTGAAGAAAGGTGAAAACATTGATCCAATGTTATTATCAGGTCAGTCAGTATATTATTATTTGAGTTATCATTTTCTATGAATTATTATTCAATTACTTATCCATTTCTACACGATAAATAAATATATATTGATATTTTTGCTATATGAAGTAATAAAAATAGTATTATGCTACTGTATTAGCAAAAAGTAATATATTTGAAAATAAGTTTGTAAATCCTTTGGTTCAATATTTTGTATGAGAAAGGGGGTTTTGCGCAGATTGTAGTAATTTAGTGGTTGAATTCATGAGTAGATTAAGGCTAATCCATCATGGAAAACCTGAAACGCTGGACGACATTAACACTGTTGGATGCCTGCTCAGTGGTCTAGAGGTTAAGCGTGAGACCGCAGGTCCTAGGTTTGAATCCCGCGAGCGGGATCGTGGGTGCGCACTGCTAAGGATGGAAACAGCCATCCGGTGCTTCCAGGTTTTTTTATAGTGGTTTAGTTTTAATCGACTCATGAATTGAATTAATAATTTTTTTATAAAACCTTTAATTGTTTTTACTAATAATATGTTTTTATTTATTTTCGCTTAATTTTATATCATTTTATATAACATATGAAAAGTGAGAGGATTTGTAGAGTATACATTTTGTTTTTAATGATAATGATATATGTGTATTGGTAAAATCTTATTGGGCTGGAAAATGTTTTTCCGACCTTTTACTACCTAGTATAAATTGCCTCTTCAGAGAATAAATAATCAAATAAATTATAGCAAAACAAACAAAGCAGAATTCCTTTTAGTATAATGGAAACGGACTGATCACATATCATTTTAATCAAGGTGATTCTTTGTAAGACCTCGTATTTTGTGTGTTAGTGAGTGTGGAAAAGCTGATGTTTATAATGTGAAAAAGTATCGATTAAAATATTTTTATGCTTGTTGTTAGTGTTATGGAACGTGAATTTAATTAAATATTTGAATGTACGGATGAGTAGTCTATATAAAATGGATAGTTAGGTGTTCCTTTGTATTGAAAGCATTAAGGTTTAGCAACATATGGGAGTCTTCATCCAGTCGTCTTTCTTCACAGTTGAAAAAACCTTTTTACATTATTTAGACATTATATATATATATATATAATGTTTTCTATTTTTAACGACTTATTCAATGCTCAACTTCTAAATTTAAATCGTTGAAATCATGAGTCATTTGAGACTAAACCGCGATGGAAGTGCTGAAAGAATTGGATGGCCTGTTCTTCTAAATTTGAGACTCCTTAGCGGTGTGCATTCACGATCCCAACTCACGAGATCCGAACCCAAGACCTATCAGTCTCGCGCGCGAGCGCCTAACCTCTGGACCACTGGGTCGGCATCGAACGGTGTTAATGTCTGACTTCAACTAATCCATGAAGTTGAGCGACACATCCACCATCGTCTTAAGTGAGTTAGTATCTCACAACAGACAAGGTTGAACTCCTCAGACCACAGCTTCTCACTAGAACTCCAGGAAATACCTTTCGAAACCAGTCACTAGTGAGCATGTGTTGGTTCATGTCAGAAGGGTTTTTGTGGATATTATAGTAATTTCAATGGTTAAGGTCATGAGTCAGTTGAAGTTAGACCACTATGGAAAACCTGGAAGCACTGGACGGCCGTTTTGCTCTATTTTGAAATTATCATGTCAAACCTTGCTAATGATGCAAAAATGTTTTTTTCTATGTGATTGTAGATTGTTATAATAATATGTACAGAACTAAAATAATTCCGAATAACACAATAGATTTAAGAATTGTAATATTATCAACTTTGGAAGTCAAATGTAACAATCTTATATCTATACATAGCATAATTCTTTTGTGCAGAATAATATTCGACATTTATATTGAGTTCAAGTAAATTGTTACTTGAAGTCGAAACGTTTTATCGAACAATGAAAATTAACATGAGCAAAAAAAAACGTTTGAATTTCTTTCCAATTCGAATATTCTCTCTCATTATGAGTAGGTAAAAAAAATCAATAAAACTGCATGATATTGTTCCATATCAAAATATTATTCTCTTAGCTTGATTAGTTTTACTGAACACTTCTAATAGTCATCTATAATTAGTTTCCTTGACAATTAAGTAGTTTTAAGGTAATTTTGTTGACTATTTCATTGTTCAGTTTTTATTTTTTTTTAAATGATGAATAAATTCAAGTGAAAAGATTTAATATAGGTGAGGATTCAGCACGGATAATATAAAAGAAGAAAAAAAACTGAAAATGTATAAGTGTCAGTGCAACCAATAAACAACAGAGTCAGTCCCTCTTATTTCTATCAGTCGTATGCAACAATGAACCTAGCATATGTATACCTTGATATAAGCTATCACACTCTATTAACAAAGCCTCGGCAAATCCAGTAGTAACAAAATAGCAACAGTATCGGTGGTAATAGAAAAGATGGAGCACATAAGATATGATTCGAGAGGAAAATACTGATTAACCAAATAAAAACTAATTTCTAAGGTAATTAAGGGATTTGTGATCTAAAGCGACTGTGCCGTTGTGAAGGATATTGAACTATCGGTTATGATAATTACGCTAATCCTAACTAGGCAGTCAGCACCTACATAAGTTGATTAATTCGTTAGTTAATGTCATTATATAACTGATACTACATTTTGGTTTAGTTAAGCTCCAGCCTACCTTCATCTTACGTCTAGACAACTCATCACGATGTGTCAAGTTATGCATCGGATGATAATACGTCTTTCACATCCTAATAACCTCGGTCGATAAAGACTCGGTACATCAATGGATTTATTAATTTTGCTCAGTACCCTACGATTAACCTTGTATTTACTAACTCGATGGTTCCAATATGTTTGAAGGCATCTATAATCGAATACTAATTAACCTATGAATGTCTCCGCTTTTTTAAAGGTCACACTTCATGTCTTTAAATTACGAATCAGAGTACAACGAAGCAGTATACTGAACCTTTATCAGAAGACGGATATCTTTTCACAAGCCAACCTTCTGTTTACTAAATAAAAATCACAATAATCAAGAAGACTTTTGGACTATAATAAATTGTTTCTTTTTGCTTTATTTTCCTTTCAATCATGTTTACTCACAATCTTTATTTCATATTACTTTGACACGATTTCTTCAACAGTGTGAGGTTGTGGTTATTATAAAGTATTTGGTTGAGATCATGAATCGACTGGTGTTAGACCGCCATGGAAAACCTGGAAGCACTGGATGACCATTTCATTCTAGTATGGGACCCCTCGACAGTGTGCACACACGATCTCGCATGCGAGATTCGACCCTAGGACCTTCGGTCTTGCGCGCGAGAATGGTCAAGCAATTTTGTGGAGTGGTTAAAGTTAGACATTAACACAGTTGTCTAGTGGAGAAGCGCGTATAATATTACTTGAGTCATATGTAACTATTGATTGTTTTTACCAAAAAAGAACTAAGTTTATTGTAAATTTCTAGAGTTTGTCTGATTGAATAAGTATTATACGTTTTTTTGTGTATACCAATTTTTCGAATTCTTCTTGTATGTTCAGTGCTTTTCATTTTATAACATTTTATAAGTCCAATAAAAGATGAATAGAAAATTATGCTAAAAATAAAACAAAATCTCTAAAGTAATGAATTTGAGCTACTTAAGTAACAAGGTCAATTGATTATGGTTTTTATATACTTTGCTTTTTTATCTTACTTCCTATTTAATTGATTCTAGTAAAATTTTACTGACAATAACCTACAGAAGAACTAAAAATTCTTTTTGTTTCCGATACTTTTTTCTGTCACACTGAAAAATCTGTACAGCAACAATCATAATAGTGATATATCAACTGGTCGGGTGAAGCATGCTGACAAGCACAAACGTCACACAGTTATATATATATATATATATATATATATATATATATATATATATATATATATATATATATATATATATAAATTTCGGTCATAACATAACCCTTCCTATTCAATATATTCCAGCATACATACAGTCAATTCTTATCTTTCTCTTTTTTCTAGAACAAATAATTTCTAGGTTATAATCGTTTGTTTCATTGAATGATTGTGGATTTTTTTAATCTTCTTTTAACTGACTGACTGACTGACTGATTGACTGACTGACTGAGTGATCGATCATCAAATCCTATCTTTCTGTTTCTTATATTTTCTCTTATACTGTTGTTGTTTTTTTCCTCGAAGGATTGCTTTATTTAGTTAATTTAAAGAAAAAAAAGAGAATTTTTCATCATTACTCCTTTTTTTCTTTTCTATAAGAGTTATTGCATTTGCCTACATCGCTTTATTTTGAACTAAATAAATCTACTAGGTAGAGCATGTTCTTCTTCCTTTTCTCTTTTTCTATAGTATCGTTTTTTTCTTTTCTAAATATGCGTGTGTAACTATCATTATTTTCACAAATATTTAATGTCAGTGCAATTTTTTTTTCAAAGAAACATTTTAATTTATTGAAAAACAAAATTACAAATTATATGAAACAGTGTAAGATACGTTTGTAAGTTAATCAAAAATGAAGGAATTACTTATTATATATTTTTTCTTGATCGTTTACTAAGTGGATCGAATAAAAACTTAGTGATTTATTCTTAATATTTACTTATACCAACTTTAATTAAAGATATTTGAATAGATTTATTAATTATAGTGAGTGTTTTAAATGTTATACAGAGATATTGTTTAAATGAATATAAAATTATCTAGTTTAATAAGATGCTTCAAGTTTTAGTAGATTTGCCTACATGAGTGTGTTATAAAAAAGAGAGACGTAAAAAAATATTGAATAAGAAAGTGTTAATAGAAACAAAACATCAAAAATATATTATTTCATTAAGTCGTATATCATAGTGTTAAAATTAAAAAAACACAAATGAAACTGTTGGAGTAACTAAGGAGACAACGCTTTTTAATTATGATTCCATAATTTATGTAACTAAATAGTTATATAATATTTATGAAACTGTAATAAATCACTAAGATAGTAAACATATTCAATCATTTACCTTA